CTGATCCCTTCCTTTGCCATCACCACTCCTGCTGAATCCGCTTCTCCTAAGCCCCTGGAGATGCTCAAAGGTCCAACTAGCTCAGCCCTGATAGCCCAGCCACAAAAGCTCCCCTGCCTGCTCCCACAGTCTTCGACTGCTGCCATCACAAAAGACATGCCTCCCAGCTGCTATCTGGAAGGTTCTGAGAAACCACTTTGGAGTTTCTCAGAAAGGCTGGGAAAACAGGCCAAAGACCCAGTCTCAGGGACACCAACTTGTTTGGCCTCTCACATACCTTGAAGGGGCTCTACAGTCTCCTTCCCTTTGACCAAGAATATAAGCCAATAACTGTAGTGCTAGGGATCCCCTCAGAGGAACCTGTCTTCTAAATCCTCCCCCTGTCCCCCACCTTCTTTGACAAGGCCTCTCCTGTATTTTAACCCTTTCTTATGAGGAAGTCTTTCCTATTGCCTAACAACTCTCTCCCTGTTGACTGTTAAACTTAGCCTTCACATCTCTATGTAATGATTCTCTTCCAGCCTTGTTTCCAGTCCTCCTTTATTGCCAGCTATGTGTTCCCTGAGCCAGCCATGGGAGAGTTCCCTGGACAAGGATGTGCCCTGTGTTTGTATCCCTTGGGCCTGCTATACTGCAGGCTCCAGGGCCTGTTGAAAAACAGATAAAACATGGAAGGACAAGATGGCTCAGTTGGTAAAGGCATCAGCTACCAAGCTTGACAACCTGAGTTCAATCCCTGGAACCCACATGGTAGAAGGAAAGGACTGACTGACGCCCACAAGTTTTCCTCTGACATGCGCACATGGGCCATGGCATATAGATAGATAGATGATAGATAGATATAGATGATAGATAGATAGATAGATAGATAGATAGATAGATAGATAGATAGATAGATGATAGATAGATAGATAGATAGATAGATAGATAGATAGATAGATAGATCAGATAGATAAGATTGTTTAATTGGACTAATCAGTCATCAGGTCCTAACATCTCCTGCTGTTAGCATCTCCTATTCCTTCCCATATCCTCATTCTCTCCCCTCAAATAGGCACGGGCAACCCTACCTACCACCTTTGCCCAAGCTTGCAATGCCCATCCATCCTTAGGCCCCTGGGTCTCTTTTACTGCTGGTCAGGGCCTCTGAGCTCCAGCAGGTGGCAGGCTCACTGCGGGTTTGCTCATCTTGGGAGCCCCATCCTGTGCTTGGGGCCTGAGTGCAGCAGATACCAGGTACACACTGGTAAGCTGGCTGCTTCCCTGTGGGTGACTCCAAGACCCTGTGAGCCCAGCCACCATCCTGTGCCACCCTGTCCTTAACCCCCATCCCCAGAGAGCTAGGCAGCAGGTACTGGCTTCCTTCCTGCCCTCCCCTCTGCAGTGGAGACCTCCTGGCTCCTCCCTCCAGCCCCCTGCACTGCAGCCAGCTGAGGAAACAGGCCGTGTTGTGGGCTCTGCATGGGCTCTGGACCAGTGGTGGCTGCCAGAGATCCAGGAAGGGTCCACAGTCCCAGAAATGAGCTAATGATCTTGGCTGCCTAAGCCTGGCTCCCTCTACTCCTCAGTTTCCTTGCCTGTAAAATGGTCAGGCAAGATGGTCTCCTAGGTCCCTCCCAGCTCTGTCTTTTGCCTTGTTAAAGCTTCCCAGAGCAAGGCCCTAGAAACAAGGCTATCTCCGCTGTTGTCTCCCTCAGCTATTACCATGGCACTGAGCCACCCCTGTCCCCACCTGTCACAAAAGTTGAAGGTCACAGAGCATTAGAGCTGTGTCAAGCTAGCTGGTCCAAGGGCCACAGCAAGAGACTTCAGGGCCTGAGAAAAGGTAAAGGGGGTGGGGGGCAAGCAAGAAGCCAGCTATGGAGCTTGGACAAAGAGCCCTGGGCTCCAGCCATGGGGGCATGTGCTCGCATGTACTCTAATGTCAGCTTTGGACTTAATCAGAAAAGACCCAAATCTATGTTCTTATATTAAAACTGGTTGCAAAATATGACAATTGAAAATTTTAAAGAATTTGCTTCTTTTTTTAACTCTGAAGAACAAATTAAGTATCTGCCAGGAGACGCTGACCTTTGGGACATTTGTCACCTCATCCCAGGTCCTTGTGGAACAGATAATGACGCCATGGTCAAGGGCAGTGGTGTGACCTCCATAGCCCATGACTCCCAGACCTCATATTCACCTAAGCACCACACTCAACAGACATCACAAGTCAAAAGGGGCCCTCAGTTTTCTCCTACAACTCTGCAGTGCACTTTTCACCCTGAGGCTGTGTACCCTGAAGCCTTTCTCTAAGCCAGAAGAGGGTACAGAGGGCTGGCTTCCCCATAAATATGTAGCCATAGATCCTTACAGCACTGTAAGCTCTCAGCTGCTAGATCCACATCCTCTGCCCCTCAGACTCTGCCAACTGCCTCTAGTCCAGAACTGTATGCCCTCTTTAAACCACCTGCCAACCCTCATCTTACAGATGCAAGAAGTTGAGGCACAGAGAGGTTTAACAACTTGCTGGGATCACACAGCTAGGATGTGAACCAGTGGAACCTGAGGCATCTGATTCCCCATTCCTGGAGATGGAGGATTGTCTCATTGCTCCAGGAGCATCACAGTCACCCAGGACCAGGAGTCATGCTCCCATTTTTGTTGATTTGATAACTGTGCTCTCTACTCCTAATCAAGGGCTGGCAATGAGGCTGCGGGAAGGGGGTCAGCTGCCCAGGCTTGGGTCTGGCTCAGCCAAGGTGGGATGCAGAGACATATAAAAGGAAGAGCTAAGATCAGCGCTCCTGCAACATGGCTCAGGATGAAACCCGCGGGAGAAGAGCTGGTAAAAAGAGAGCTGGGTGCTACTGCTCCTAAACTCATTCTTTCAAACAAGCTATGCCACCTCCTCCTCTCTACAGGAAGTCTTTGTGGTCTTTGAGGTTTGGGGAGCTAGGACCCCTGGCAGAACCTCTATATACCGCTGTGCTGAGTGTTCATGGCACAGTGGTACAGGCAAGAATTGAATGGGGTATTCTGCCCCACTCAGCAAGCCCTGGCATAAGATTCCAGCCAAGAGCACCACACACTTGATGTTCACTGAGGCCCCACATGGACTAGACTAGCCTGGGCCCTGCTCCACCCCCATACCCACTACCCCTCTGAGACTGAGGTTGCTCCCTTGCACTCCAGAAACCTGGGTGCTCCATGGGGGCAAAGGTAAAATTCCAACCAGGCACCATTTGAGCCTCAATGGACACAGGAAGGAGTCTAGACACATCCTTCACCCCCCTTCCCCCACCTCCCTCCACCAGCACCCTGGGTGGGGACAGTGTCTGGGCCCAATTCTGATAATTTTTATTAAGCTCCTTCCCAGAGCTCAGTTCCATGATCTTGATCTCTTTCCCAGCTCTAATTTCCTGCCTGACTCCGGCCCTCAAAGGCTGCAGGAGGCAGCTGCAGCTGCTTATCCAGCCGGGGTTGAGTCCTGGCCTGGGAGGAAATAGAGTGGGGTGAGGTGGGTGGACCCTTTCCTACTCTGCAGATGAAGAAGGGTTATTACTAGGTGGCTGGGGTCCACTGACCTGGTCCTGGCTAGCCATTTCTTCCTGCAGAGTTCCTGTCTCCAAAGCCAAAAATCCAGTCTCTGCAACATCTGAACTCAGAGCCCACATGATAGTGGCTGGGGCTCTAGTCCTGCACTCCCCAGTGGCAGTGCCTGCCTCCCAGCCAATCCCTGGGGATGATGCATTTTGCTGGAAGATTTCAAAGTCTATCTTGATGACTGGAGCAGAAGCCTGCTGGCACCTACCCGCACTGCGGAACAGCAGAAAGTGAAACTGAGGTACTGAGGCAGCACCTGTGAAAGGCGCTAGAAGTTTAAGCTCCTGAGGAAGTGGGAGGAAGAAACAGAGAACTCTCTCCTTGCCTGCTCAAAGAAGGCAAAAGGGAGACCAAGATAGAAACATCTTTCATTTTTGTTGAGCACCTTCTACAGAGTGACATGCTATTAAACACCCTACATGAATTGCCTCACACTCAATACAGCAATCTATGTGGGAATTTTTATTATCCCCATTCTACAGATAGGAAGACTAATTAAGCTGTTACTTGCCCAGATCCTCAGCTTAGTACATGGGAGAGCTCGAACTCAAAGCCAGGCAGGCTGGCTCCATCACTGACTCCCTTAATCAGAATGAACCACTATGTCCCCCATTCTGGGGATGACCTAGCTCCCCAAGGGAATGGAGAGTGGGTCTAAAAGCCATGGCCCTCAGCCTCTGGATGCAGCTCCTCCACATTAGAGGTTCCTGGGGGGCTCTAGTCATACCCTTGGAGTCCCCTTCCTCTCCAGAGAAGTCAAGACTTCTAGCCACGTTTCCAGTTCCTTATTCTGGCCACTCCCCACCTCACCCACCCTGACAACACTGCCAAAGGTTTCTCTGGGAGAGCCGCAGGGAGAAGGATGCTCAGTCAGGGTACATCAGCCTCAGTACAGTAGGTCAGGCAAGACCCACACACACACCTGCTGCTCCCTCTCTGGGACCCCATCCTCTCCCGATCCAGTTCCACTGTCCCTCTGCCCTCCTGAATAAGGGGCGGTCGGACCCAAAGCCCATCAGAGACCACTCCTATGCATTTTACTTTGTTGCCTCCTTGCCTTAACTCTGCCTCTGGATTGAGAAGAGGGTTTTCCAGAAACACACCTTCTCTTCTGATAGAAATTTCAAATGGAGCCTCCAAAAATGGACCCCTGTACCCTAATCTCTGGGACCATTCCAAGACTATCCTTCAGACTTCTGAGGCTGAGGATATCCACTGAGGAGAGATAGCTACTCCCCCTCCTGAAGCAGCCAGCACGGACCAGAGCTCCCCAGGAGTCCTCACACTGATGACAACGGTCACACCATGATGCTGTGTCCCTGAGGGTGGGAGGTGATCCATCAAACTGAGGGAACTGGGGAAAAGGAGACGTCTGCTGGAGGGCTGGAAGGCGCCAGGTGTGGCGGACTTGTTACCTGGCTGCGAAGGCAGAGGCGCAGGGGCAGGAGGCACGAGAAGAGGTACTTGCCCCAGCGGATCACACAGGAGAAGCACCAGCTCAGCCGAGTCATGTTGCCCCGGAGAGTGGGTGCCCAGGGCATGCGGGTGGCGAGGGGAGACCAGCGGCACCTGGGCACAGAGTTGGGGACTAAGGGGCTGAAGGCGAGCGCCCTGTGCCCGGGATCTCCCCTCAGGCTTCATTCAGTACTGGAGGAAGAGTCGAGATGCCCTGCCCCGACTAGAGAGAAGCGCGGGGCAGCGGACCTGCGGCGCGGCGCGGCGCCGGCCTGGCTCCATCTCCCCCGGGCCCCTGCTGGCGGCTGCAGGGCGCTTCCACCCTCCGGGACTTCCTCCGCGGCTCCCTCTCTCCTCCCTCCGCGGCGACGTGCCAGCCTCCAAACTCCGCCGCCTGCTTCCCGGGCGCAGCACCCCAGCAACTTGTGAGGCGGTGGGGACCCGGCAGAGGCGGTGCCAAGCGCGGAGCGGCAGTCTGCGGGAAGGAGCGGCGGCATTGTGCTCGCACTGCAGTGTATGAGTGTGTGTGTGTGTGTGTGTGTGTGTGTGTGTGTGTGTGTGTGTGTGTGTGCGTGTGTGTGCGTGTGTGTGTGTGTGTGTGTGTGTGCGCGCGCGCGCGTGTGCACGTGTGGATTCCCTCCAGGGCGCCTTTGGAGTCCCAGATTGCTCCCCAGAGCATAATGTGATTAACTTAAACGAAGGCTTCCACTGCCCAACAGAAACCTGTGTGTGCAGGGCTCAACCTGGAGCCTCTGACCCTGGCCACACCCCGACTCTTCCCTGCCGACTGGGGGCTTGAGGATGCCAAGAGGAACGCCTGCACCCCAACAGGTTGGAGGGACCGCGCCTCCCTCCTGCTGGGATGCCACGCGCTCCTTTCCTTTTGTGCTACCAGGTGCACGGCACCCGGCAGAGCCTTTCCCAGCCTTTGCAGGGGCTCCAGGCATCCTGAGTTCGGGTCATTTCGGGAATAGTGTTTGGGGGTTACCACACTGGGACCTTAGAACAAGACCCTAGAAAGAAAAGAGAAGAGGCGGAGGAGCTGTGCTCTAGAGAGAAACAGGCAGACAAAGGCAGAGAGAGCCAGGGGCCTGGGAGCAGAGGAAGGGAAAGGAGGGAGTCAGCACTGAGCCTCACTGGCTCGCTCGTGGCTGCTGAGAAACTGAGCCGGCAGGAAGCCAGGACCTGGGAGAAAAGGGGCGGGGTGTTGTAGCTGCTTTCGCAGCAACAGGCCACTGGGGCCCCAACCTACCCACTCCCACCACTGCAATCCCGGGCCTAGACTCCCCACCCACCCCCACCCGGCCCCCCAATCTCAGGGTCAGATTTTCTGGTTGTGTTCTGCTCTCTTCGAACTTCTCTACTTCACCAGGGTCTTTTTCAACTTGCAGCTAGAGAGTGTTGCTAGCTGCCTTGGCACCCCCAGACTCTTCAGCAATGCAGAGGGTTTCTTGGGCCCTGCCCTATCCTTGTTTCCCTGCCCTTGGACAGACAAGGCAGGTGCCTGGTGGGAAGGACCACAGAGACCAACCAGCCAGGAGAAGGAAGAGGTAACTGTGGGTGTGTGGATAGAGAGGACTAGGCAGACATTAGGATGGCCTCTCAACCCTAACCATCACCATGATGAAATCCAGATGAATGATGGAGAGGCTATCCCCAGATGATGTGAGTCTATCCCCAGAAAGTTGGCCTTTGTCTATGCCCACTCTCCCCAGAGAGGTGCCTGGCACAGTCCAGTTCCAGGCCTGTGGGGAGCCTTCATCCTCCACAGCTTCCCACCTGGGGACCACAGGAAACAGATCAGGGGTGAGACTGGAAGAAATGGAGTTTAATTCACACAATGTGGCATAAAGCTTAATTAAAAGAAATCTCTTGAATTTTTTAAAGATTGGAGGAAGTTCCTCAGATAGCCTAAGGGAGGAAGGCAAGATGGCTTTTTCTTCAGAGAGTATGAAAGACATGCCACAAAACTGGAAAGTAAAAGAGAGAGGATAGGCTGGAAGATAAGAGGTGATGGCAAGACCCAGCCCTCTGCAGTCTGGTACCCTGTGGGCCAGGGCTCAGAGGCAGAACCCTTCATTTCCAGACTCTGTCCAGCAAGAAGCACCTGGGGCCAATAACCCTCCTCAAAGAGAGGGAAGAGTGGGGTCCACAGGACAGGAAACCAGGCTTGTTGATGCCTGAGAGTCCCCACAGCTTTCTCCTCATAGCTGTATCCCAACATGCCCCCAGGTAGCTTCAAGTCAAGGTGATCCTCCACAAGTCCTCTGTCTAATGCCACCTCTAAGAAGAGTCGGCTGCAGGATCTCCACATGTTCCCAAAACCATTCTATAGCCCCCTAGAAGGTTCTAGCAAGTACCCTTTTTACTTGTTCTTTCAAGACTCCAATTCTCAATAGTCTCCCAGTCTTGGCGCCCTTGCTCCCTCAAAACACTCAGGGCACCAGAAATGGCATCCAGCTCACAGAGGCTTCTTGATATACTTCCCTCCTCCCTGGCTCCCCTTCTAAGACCTCTGAGAGACAGAGACACAAGGTTCCTCATTCATAGATCAGATACACAGACCTGGGAGACCATGGGTTAGAAGTGAAACATGGTGTGAGAGATGGATTAGGTAAGTCTAGGTAGGACTGTCTGCCACAGGCCTTCACCAGCAGACCCCACATAGAGACTTCTCTACTGTCTTTATGTGGGGACCCAACAGTGTCCCCTAGTTTTTCACATCTTCCTCCTCAGTGATACTTTTGTTACATGTGCATGCCATAGTGTGTGTTGAGGACAGAGGACAACTTGCAGGAGTCGGTTCTCTCTTTCTATGATTTGAGTCCCAGGGATTGAACTCAGGTTGCCAGACTTGGCAGCAGGTAACTTTACCCCAAACCCCACTGTGTCATCACACACATATTTGAAGAGCTCGGGGAATGACTGAAGACCCCTGTTTCTGTACATGAAATATGACCTTCTCCAGGCTCCCACAGACTCAGAGTCCTGTCTTCCAGCCTTGACACCTCCTGCCCTTCCTCTCCTCGGTTTCCAACCCTACTAGAGTCCAGACAGGCACAGAGTAGGAGGCTGTGCTATGGGTCCATCACATTGGAAAGAAAAGGAATTTCTTTCTCCACTGTGATGGCTAATATTATTTATCAACCTGACAGAATCTAGAATTACCTAGGAGACAAACCCCTGGGCATGTTTGTGAAAGAGTTTCTAGATTGGGTTAACTGAGGTGGGAAGACTCACCCCAAATGTGGGTGCCACTATCCCATGGGCTGAGTTCCCAGACAGAATAAAAAGAAGGAAATAGAGACCCTTCCTCCCACAAGTGGCTTTTGTCAGATTTTTAAAGAATTATTTTATTTTTTATTTATGTATGTATGCGTCTGCCATGTGTGTGCAAGTGCCTGCAGAGGCAAGAAGAGGGCATCAGATCCCCTGGAGCTAGAGTTACAGGCAGTTGTGAGCTGCCCAGTGGGGAGCTCGGAACCAAACTTGGGTCCTCTGGAAGATCCAAGTGCTCTTAACCTCTGAACTATGTCTCCTGTCCCCTTGTCAGGTATTTGATCACAACAACAAGAAAAGTAACTCATACATCCTCCACACCCCACACATGTTCATGCAGCCAAGGCCTGGATTCTGGGCTGGGGCCAGGAAGCAGGTTCTAGTCCACAGCTTGGTGGGGTGAGGCCACCCATGTTCTGTACCCCCTGCCCTCCCCTCCCCAACATATTCTTGGGTCAGGGCCAGGGAGCTCCCCTTTTCCCACAGAGAGGCAAGGGAAGAAGGAAAAGTTTCCCAGAGGGTCTAGCACAGGTGTTGGGAAACAAGAGAGCCGGTCATGGCCCAGTGGTGCCCTGGGACAGCTGTGGGAGGAAGGTCTACCAGGCAGCAGAGCACAGAGCCTCCTCTGTGTCGGGCCCTCAGGGCTACAGTGCCCCTGGTTGGTTTTGTCTTCAGGGACAAAAGCAACCCCTGTTCAGGGAGAATCCCTTGAGCATCTGATCCAAGGCTCCGGATCTCACTTTCACACCTAGAGAGAGATGTGCAGGCATGGCTCCCCAGGGACTCCCCCAACCCTTCATGAAGGGCTCAGCTCCAGCCATCCCCTCTCTGTCCCCATCTGCCAACTGCTCACAAGAAGAGCTAGCTTCCCTACCCTCCCTCATGGTGCCCCTATGGCTCCAGGAGGCTCTCAGTTGAATGCCCCCTCTTAGGCTGACTTCCCAGCCCTTCAGCCCCCACACTATGGATGGGTCTCCACAGCCACACTCACAAGGTCAACTACCCACCAGACCCAAAGCATAGAACTCATATCCAGCTCCAGATCACTCTGCCCACTGAAGAACAGAGGTTCCCACAGAGCCAGCCTGACTCAGACAGACTCCTGTGGTAATGGCTCCTGGGTTGAAGGCTCCTCTGCCCAGCCTACAGAAGTCCTTCCAGTCCTTCCATGTTTATTTCCTCCAAGCACTTGGCACCATTCCTTGTTGATATATTTGCTCACTGCCTCACAGTCTTCCCCATCACAAAGCCAGCTCCAGAGGACCTTGTCAGTCACTCCTAAGGGGCACCGTAGTACCTACCACAGGGTCCGGCATGTGGGCAGGAAATGTGAGCTACTTGGTAAAATGGCTGTTTGATTGCAGGAAGGAGGGGTGGGTGAAGGAGGGCAGGAAGGAGGGAGGGATAGAGGGAGGGGAGGAAGGAGGGGCATCCCTTTCTGTTTTCAAATCTGGCCAGTTGAGAGACTGTCATTTGCAGAGTTCTGCTGTTACTACGCCCCAGTGAAGTCTTTATGTGTCTCCACTCCACCCACACTGACGAGGGGCCTCATGACCCTCCCTCTAAAACAGCCCCCAATTTCCAGTTAAATTTGAACAAAACACCATCCCTTCCCCATCCTTGCTTTTCAGGGGGCACCAAGGTCCTAAATGGTGCAAGGGGTTGCCAAGGATCACACAGCCAACAAGTAGCAATACCAAGGCTGGCAGAGACCCCTGTTCCTAGTCCTCTGGTTTTCCTTAACACAATATGGCGCCTAGATGGAAGGGGGAAATATCTGTCCT